AAAACAATGCATAACCTATTTAGTGAGCTTCAGTAAATGGGTGAGGAACATTGAGAGAACTAACAAAAAGACAAAATTTATTAAGGGTTCCAAAGGACAAGAAATTGTAGAGAGCCATGATCACCAACATCCTGAAAAGACATGGCACATAGATGATTGTAACACAATGGTTACTGATTTTGATACTAAATGATTGTAAAACTGGTAGCAACAGCACTTCAACCCTATTGACAGTGTTGCCAGTGAACAAATCCCTGCTAGAATTTAAATTTTACAACTATGTCATCCACAAAGTATAAAAACTATACATTGCAGCTGTTAAAGCTCATGTCCATGACACCAAACTCAATGTTGTGTCACATTCTGTGTGTGTGTGTGTGCATGGGCACATCAACACTAACTTTGATTACAATCAACAATGTTTAACCACCTCTAATAGATAATTGAAACAAGGTCAAAGGGAAGAGCCAAAGTAGAACAGTTCTTGTTACAAACTATGACATCCACTAGTGCAACAGTCTGGGCATTTTGCAAAAAAGTAGATGAAATTGCACCAATAAGAAATTGCATGTCCCTGGTGCTCTCATTTCAAAACAAAAAGAAGAGTGCAAGGCATGAAATGCGTTCTTTTGTCTGGGATCATAGTATCTCTTCTGTCTTCACATGAAATGGAAGAAGGTTCCCAGTATCCTGTGGCAGCACCTTCCTCATTGCATTATCTGGGGTTGGTCTAATATTGACAGTGGTCACAAGGACTGGGCGATTTTTGTCCTTGACCTATATCCCACATAAAAGACTGTGTCATATCCTGCCTTAGTGGGGAGGTCAGGTAAATCGCTTCAACTACAGGACTACGTAAGAGAAGGACAACTCCATATTATGAAAATTGTCTACTACCTCATGACATGACAATGAAAAATATACAGAAGACAAAGCATTTGAAACAACAGTGGAATACAGTACACAGATCAATACCAAATCTGACTATCATGAATTCTACAGCAACTAAACTAAATGTAGAGATCAAAGTAACATCTATATGGTAACAAATACAACAAAACATTTTCTAATATCCAAAATTAAGAAGGTTAAAAAGGACAAATTATCTAAAATTATTAATGATAACAAACTGAAACAATTTACTTAAAATAAAGCGTAATTTAAAATAAGGTTTATTTTTAGAGAAATTATATTTGAAATGACAAGTTAAGAATTGGTTTCTTAAAATTTCTTTTTGATTAAAAAAAATTCAAAACTGTTTGGAATTTCTAGCAAAATTTTTCATCTTGAGAGTTGCTAACACAGGAATTGTAACAACACCATATCAAGAAACGTTTGAAATTATTTTATGATAAAGAAAAATGCAGAGGAGCAATAATTAGCATTGACAACTTCAATTTAAAAAATGACTTGTTTATTGAATGAAAATGCTGTGAAATTTTATTTGTAAGAAATTTTCATTTCTTTAGAGAAATTTGAACTTAAATTCTTAATGTATAAAGTCTGTAAATGTACAAGAAATAGATTTTAATGGTGTATTTAAAATAAAATATATTTTAGATATGTGAAACCACTAAAATATTTGCCAGATCACATTTTTTAGCAAGATCACTTAGTATTTGTGTATGACAATCACTTAAAAAAAAAAAAAAAAAAAAAAAAAAATCAAACTTTTCTCTTGTTTCTCAAAATATATTAAATTAAAAATAATATCTGTATTTCTGAGGTATTCTAACTATTTATACTATTTATATTGTTTGGACTCTTGTTCTCATCTTTACTGTCACATTCACGATGTTTTGCCCATCGTATGCGCCATCCTTCTTCAGGTGATAATTGTTGGAATTTTGAACTGAACCATTAGTTGATTGATCCAAAGAGTTGTGAGTTCAATCCTTGGTCTCAGCAGTGAGTACAAAAAACTTGCAGAGTTTTCAAGCCGAATTAACTAAAACTGATGTATCCAAAGGTATGGTATGTGGACAATCTACCCCCCATGGAGTAAATAAAGAATTTGGTTTGAAATTCCAACAAATATCACCTAAAAAAGGCCAGAGCATACAATGGCTGAAATGTTGTGAATGTGACAATAAAGATTAGGACAATGTAAAACAATGTAAAGATTGTAAATTAAAAAAAATGTTTTAAAAGAAAGTAATGGAGACAAGTCATATATTTTTAATAAATTAGTTTCAAACTAAATGCTAACAACTTACTAACAATTCCTTAAAAAGGTTCTATTACTGAAAAAAATTGTTAAAGCAAATATAAACGCTAGATCTAAAGCCTTAAAATGTGTTAATTATAAAGAATGCCTCAATAAACACAGATGTAAAATTTTACAAAAATTATTCAAATCAGATAATAAAGAATGTCATATAGGCTCCAAAAGTGAGAAAAGGCAAATTCATATCTTGATAGAAACTAATTCTTTATCTTTGCTACTTGTAGCATGAAAAAATGAACTGAGTGTTGCAAAATAAAAAAAAAAAAAAGAAAAACTAGTCAGAGAAAAAAAATTAATGATCCTTCATCTTTGAAATTTGGACAACTTCAAATTAGTTTCAATAGTCTGGATTGGGAAAATTAATTTATAATACTATCAATATTTATTATATAAAAAGAAACTGGCAAACTCTTGTGGTCATAACTTAAATACATCGAAATTTTAGATTAAAGTCTGTAATGTCTTAAGTGAAACCATGAGTTTCTTCCGTGTTTTCTTTTGTATAATAAATGCAATAAGCCAATTACAATTGTCAATGATAGAAACAGATAAACGTAAATTGTACACTTCTCTGATGTTGAATGGGAAAGTTTACATTTGATATAAAAATTAATTCTAAGGTTTATTGGAACTGAAAAAATTCTGTTGAGAAAATGTTATTTGTACACTTTTAATTTTAAATCAAAATCTTATATATATATATATATATATATATATATATATATATATATATATATATATATATATATATATAAAATATATATATAAGAAGAAAGGAAAATCTTGTCCAGTTAGTTCAACCAACATTAGCAGAAAATGTTATGCACTTTTTTGTGTTGCTTCATTTCCTGTAGCAGTCAGCATTCTGATTAATTTTTTGTTAGGAGGTCTAAGTTTTTGTTTCTAAGACAATATTTGTATCTGCTACATTGTATTTAATACATTTATGACTTACATCCCGTCACATTACCATGGCCACAAACTTGTCTTGGAGAAATTGTAATTTTTTTTTTTTTTTTACATTTGTACTTTTCTTATCCACTGGGAACATCTAAGAAAACACCTTCATCACTGATCATTCTCTGAAAATATTTAATATTTCAGAGTAGAAAACAGGAACACATCAAGAAGTGGATATAAAAATAAAGAGGACACAAATGAGTCTGTAAAATAAGAAGCAAATTTAAAATAGCATGGGAGAGACAGAAATTACAATTTTTATCTGTTTTATAACCATGATTAAAAAAAAATCTTTAAAGCTAAAATCATGGAGTAAAAAAAACAAAAAAAACAACAAACAAAACAACATATCTCAATTTTGTTTTTTTTTCCTTCATAAAAATCCCAACTAGGCTGGGTGGGTGGTTTTGTGAATTGAATTTATAATACTGCAGATTTGAAGAATTATTTAGTAAAACAACAAATGTGGAGGATACAGTTTCAATTGATAACTGGTAGAATAATATACATTCAAAAACACAAAATGTATCATTTATTCATCATAAGTAAAAAAATACATGAGGTTGGTTATAAAATCAAGAGAAATCAAGTCCCAAACAACAAGGAGCGATTTATTTTTATATTTAAATAGAACAAGGAAGGAGGTGGGGGGGGGGGAGAAATGGTCCACCCAATAAAACCATATTTGAATCAAATACACGATTTCCACTTAAAATGCATTTAGCAGTAGAAAAAAAATTGTCTCATAGAATAGACTCAGCAGATTGCAAAGACTGGAATTATCCGGATTTTGGTATCAAAATCTATAAGTAAATATATCACTAATTTACAAAGAAGTAAAAAGCACCATTCTTATTTAGAGAGTCAAACTAAAAAGAATTATTTAATTGTAACTTAATTTATCAATGCACATGAAAGATTTAGTTTGCATATTTTAAGATATAATTCTAGAATTATTAACAAGTAAATATCTTTTGCAGCAAAAATAAATTACTAATGTGATTTTAATCAATTGATACATTTTTTATGGCTTATCAACTCTTTGCAGGTTATTTAAAGTCAGAAAATATTTTTAGCTTGTAAGAACTTTTTTTTTTTGAGATGACAATGGTTTAGTGATAAAAGTCTTAATTAACCTATAGCTGGGGGAAGAAAAGGTAAATTCATACCTAATCAGAATTTGATAAACAAGAAATTATGTGGATCAATATGGGGGATCAATTCTATATTACAATAAATGTATAAACTGATCCCTCACTTTATAGCAATGGTAGTTTCTATGCATTTACATCCCAGAGAATGTAAATAAATCTAAAGGCATACCTGTGTAGCTAATCAGTATTTGATTGATTGATTCATTTTTTATGGCTTACTAACAGACAAGAAATTGCAATGTGGATATAAAGTGGGGGATCAATTCTTTATTACGATCAATATATAAACTGATCCCTCACTTTATGGCCACATTAGTTTCTATACATTTATATTCCAGAGAATGTAAATAAATCTAAAGGCATACCTGTGTAGCTAATCAGTATTTGATTGATTTTCTATGGCTTACCAACTCTATACAGGATATTTAAAGTAAGGAAATATATTTAGATTCTAAGAATTTTTCTTTTAGATAATAATGATTTTAGTCATACGTCTTACTAATTAACCTATAACTGGGGGGAAGAAAGAGATGGATTCATACCTTTCCCAAGGGTATTTGCATGTAAGTGAATGTAATGAACCAAACAGGAATTGGAACTCAGCTCTCCGATTAACAATTCTGAGATGTTATCCATTACACCACTCGCACATCCAAGCTTATAGCACCTGGTATTCCCAAACGGTCACCCATCTAGGTACTGATTAGGCTCAATGTTGCTTAACTTCAGTGATCATGTGGGAACCTGTGTTTCAATGTGATATAGCTGTAAGCCTCTAACAGGATCTCTAATCAGTAATAGTAACATACATTTTATACATTTAGATAGATTTACTGTTCACTTGTTTTCAGGCCTTTAGCAAATGAATCGAACACAATTGTATAATTACAAAAATTAATATAATACAAATATTGTACAATAATAAATGCAACAATAACAGCAGTCTTCCTAATACTGTTCATCATAATATAAAGTTCTTTACAATATGGTAATACACCACTTGTACTGATTAGGATTTAATAAATTACTTTTATTTAGTAATAGCAAACTGGGGTCACTTGAAACAAAATCAGACAAGATCACTGATTATTGAAAATATTTATTGCATTATAAGTATTGGATACAGAGAAGGTGCCTCATGGGAAGTAAACTGAACTCCTAGGCCATCACTATAATGAGTACAATCCTCAAAAGGTGTTCCCCATTTGTGCCAGTCTAAACTTAAATAAAAGAAAATAGAAAAATCTTAGTAAGCAATATTAAAAAAAAATTAGTGTCTTGCTGGGAAACAATGGTGAGTATAGACCATTATTTAGCAAATGAGTTCAATCCTCACAGAATAAACCAGACTTGTAGCCTTGTAATATAACAAATTGAATTCATCAAGAGAACAACAAGGCAGCAGAGAAATATGGAGATACATTGGTGTAAAGTGATGATTTACAAGTGTGGAGAGTTCAATTCTTACAGGCTACCCTGCTCCTGTAACCATAGCAACTTGCCTCATGTCTCAAATAATTATATATTACACATGGAGGGGCCAATGTTCAAGCAGAAACCAGGCTTTTCAGGAAAAACCTCTTTAATTAGAAAATTAGCATAATATAGTTTACCTTCTTTATATTTGGCCTTGAGCCAAACTATGTCAAACCGATATTTATTAAGTACCATAACCAAAGGTACTGAAATCACTCAGTGTTATAGTCCTGGTTTTATTTTATGCCGGATTTATAAAAAGTTTTTTTTTTTTTTGTCATTAAAATTATTGATTATTTTAGGAGAAATTTATAACTTTTAATCACAGAAAAAAATAACTAAATAAAGCTGCTTTTGAGGTAAATTTCCATTAATTTAAATTTTTCTTAAAAAAAAAAATATATATGTACGAATATGAGAAAACAGAACATCACTTATTTGTACGTTTCTCAGAAATTAAGCCAAGACATTTTTTCAAAGAATTCACTCGGGTATCAGAATGGATGATAAATTACATCAAATGTATGAGTTTTAAATACATAATTTTTCACTTTATGAAGTAGTTTCTTTTAAATACAACACGTTTACATTATCAGTTTAAAAAAAGAAAAAAATCTAGTTGACTGAAGTTTTTAAATTTTCTTCCTTTGATTTACTGATACAAACAATTCACACAGGTTTTTTTTAAATATATATATATATATATATATATATATATATATATATATATACATACATATACACACACATACATACATACATACACACACACACACTACTACTTTCGATTAGAATATAGAAATTGTAATTGGATAAAAAAAGAACGAAGTGAAAAGGGAGGCAACTTATTTTAACTTTAAAAAATTAAAAGATTTTTTTTTTTTTTTTTTTTATAAATTAACAAAAATTTCATGGCTGACTTATAAATTTAAAAATGTTTGATGGCTTAAAAAAAATGTCAACTTTATTCAATAATTTAAAGATTATATTTTTGATTGGTGACTATCATGAAATTTAATTCTGATTTAATAGAAAACGAATCAAGCTAATGAGGCATTTTACATTCAGCCTTTTAGCTCAACACTTATTCTTATGTGTTGCTTGATGTTTTGGGTTGAAGTGCTGAATTTTTTAAAATTAGTATCCTCACATTTGTAGTCTTGATCACCTCTTCAACTACTGGGCTCTCTCACGTTCCTTAGGTGCATGTTAAAATTGAAGTCTATAAGATGTGATGTACACCTATGGAAGGTCAAAGAGTTGACTAGCTGAAACAGTGATTAGAAAGGTTAGGATGCTATTTTGAATAATTCAAATGATTTTAATCAATACATTTAGGGTGTATATCTTTATAATTAAAGTGCTTGGATTTGGATACAAACGTATTTAAAATGAGGGCTTGTGTAATGGTATCTTTTATACCTAAAACAAATTTGATACTTCAATGTGTGACCCACTCAGCCCCATGTATAGCTGTCAATAGGTCCAGGTCAAATGGGAAATGTAAGATTCATTTCAAGCTGCTTATTCAATATTCCTGTTATCAGTGCTAAATAGATACAATTTATGTTTGGTTATAAACATGTAGCGTACAGAATCAACTTACAAGTAACAGTACAAAAGAACTAGGATTTAAACAAAAATGGTAATGACATATTAAGTTAGTTTCAGTCATCTCCATTTATATATATCTGCTTGAATCTTTCAAGATACTACTATTTTGTACTAAAGAGTCCTCCTTTGATATTCTTTACAACATTCTTTAGCAAAGTACTCCTCCTTTTACCCCTATCAGGAGTAGGTTCCCCACAAAATTCTAAGTCCATGCCAACTAGCTTGGACACCCAACTGGCCTTATTCCAGATTAAGTGTTGCTTAGAAAATAACCACTTCATAAAATTTGACATAAAAGATCTAAGCATTCAGGTGATACAAACTGTAACATGATTAACAAAAAAAAAAAAAAATTGCACACATTAATTTCCAATCTGTTCAGAAATAATTCATCAGATGAAGTCCCAGGGAAATAAGTCGGGCAAGTCTTAATTGTGTCTGTGAAGATTATATAGATCTTCATAACAGACAGAACATGTGATAAAAAAAGAATCAATATAAATAAAAGGTATTTTCTCTCTGAAAAATCAATCACAATATCAATGTTCAGAGAAATGAGATCACTCTTTAAATCAGAGTTTGAAGCTGAATTTGAAGCAAATAGATTTTCTGAGAGAACTTCTGTCAATAATGCAAAGAGAAAATCAGAGTGAAAATTTTTGGAAAATGCTTAGCAAATTACCAAAGATATTTACTCACAAATTTTTCTGGAAATTTGCATAGGAGTTGTTATCACCTTCAATTAAAACTTGACAATTAAGTACAACAAGTTTGAGCAGTTTAATTAGAATAAAATATTTAAAAAATATAGTTCGTTTTATAAGCAGTTCTGTTAAGTTTTAGAAAATGCTATCAGCATTTTTCCCTTTTAATAAAGTTAAAAAAAAAAAAAAAAAAAAATATTACCAAATCTTTTATAAGCCAAACAAATACTGAAACATACAAAAATCAAGAAAAAAATTACCAATTGTCTAACATTCTGAAATTAGTGGCAACATATTTTGGACTACTCCACCTTTGTTGCTGGTTAGTTCTCCAGCTTTCTACAAATTAATTTAATATCTGATGCATTATCTTAAATGTATTCTTCTTTAATATATTACTGATACTGTAGTATAATAATTTTAAATATTTAACAATATTCACTGGATACTCCATTGACTTAAGAATTTTGGAGAACCTAGCAAAATAAAAACAAAGATGAGGATAACATGTCTGAATAAACTATTGTACCAGAAAGAACTTCTCTACCCACAATGTTATTATTAATAACTGAAGATTATATTTATAAAAAACAGATCAATATAAATGGAATGATAAATATATTATTGGAATTTATATTTAATACAATATTTTATAAAGTAATTGTGCTAAATAACAAGCCAACATTTTTCTTTATATTTACGGGGGTTATGTAATATTTTGATATTGTAGTGTAAATAGTTATACATTTTGCATTAATACAAATGGATAGTGTTTCAGTTCAGAATCTCAAAATCTGATTCTTCAGAAAAACATTTTATCAGACTAAATTGAGTAAATATAACATTAAGTGAATAGTGTATTTTCTTAGGAAATATTTAGATCCCCACCACTGTTTTATTGCTGAAATAATTCTCCCACCAGTTTCAGAGGTTAGTGCTGGTATCAGCCCCCACAAAAATAAGACAGGTTTTCAAATGCTAATTTCCTAAACAGATATTTCTCCACCTAAACTATTGTTCTGCTCAAGTTTTCTGGCCCTGTTAATACTTCAATTTGGCTTACATAAAGACAAGTTTAATAAACAGGAAATTGTGGAGAGCAATGATCACCTACATCCTGAAAAGATATAGCATATGAAAGTAGTAGCAGCAGCTTAGTAAAAATATAAGATTTAACCAGTTTTTTTTCAAGTGAACAAAATTTTCAATGTTGGCTTTCAAGAGACGCAAACTTCACATTAAGAATACGCTCTTCCTAAAATCTTATTCTCTCATTTGGCTTAGGATCAATCTAAGCAACACTTAGTAAATAGATAAATGCATAATTTGAATTCATTTCTTGAACATTAATAAGAAAAAAAGAAGAAATGATTTGTTTTGTCATATGTTTTTTTCAATTTAATGAAAAGTGGAATCCATTAAGTTACAATTTTTAATACCAACTCATTCAGAAAGCATTTTGTTTTAAGAAATATTTGCTGAAAACATTTAGTGTGAGATCAATTTGTCTGAGATACAATGAAATATAACAGTGAAAACAGCTTTCAATAAAATTCAATAAGAATGTATGAATTTTAAATAAAAATATTAAATGATATTTTTATTGTTTTGTTAATATTTAACATTTGTAAAGTGAAGGAAAGACTTGACATTAAATGAGATAGAAATTAGCTATTTTAAGAAAAACTGAAAGTTGCTTAGTTTTGTAGGAAAACAGCAGTTATTCATTCATTCAAATATTCTCTTTTGGATTATAGTTTGATCAGAAGTTCTCCATTCATCTTCAAGTTACGTTTAACAAAATTATACTCGCTATAAGTTTAACAAATTATCAGTGTTAATAAAAACTTGCACAATTTACACCATTCTGTTATCCTCAAAGATTATACTGAAATAGAAAAGTCAATGTACTTTAAAATGCAAGTAGCTTTTGTTTTTGTTAAGTTACCGAGAAAATGGGCAATTTAAGCAGATA